GATGGCTTGGTAGAGCTCGGCCGGTGTGTACCGACTCCGAGTGAGTGGTGCCATGTTGGCGCGAAAACGCAGACTGAGTGTTGACAAGCTGTATTATTTTGTGGAGGTTTTGCCGCTCAAAATCCTGGCGATTCTATTGGCTTATCCGACGTATCCATAAACCGTCCAAGTATCCATAAAGTGGCCGTTTACGTTAGCTCAGTTTTTTGCTCAAGACACGAATGACTGATATTGGGGCCTATTGACTAATCAAATCACTGGAAATACATGGCGAAACTGAAACTCTTGCTCAGTAGAGCTCTTTCGAAAGAAGTCGAGTTTACAGTAGTCGACAGCCGCGAGGGTGCCTGCCAAAAAAGAATCAATACAAGGAGGTTTACTGAGTTTTCCACAATAAAGCTGGATGTTAAGAAGCGACCAATAAAAATCGAGGAAATTTATTACATCTCTGATTCTTTTCCATTCGAGTCGTTACTACTTGTCACGCTGCCGCCATCGCTGCTGCCTTCTACGCTTTCATTGTCACTCGCTTCGACTTCTTGTAGCCCCTTTATGTACTCGGCCAGCTTGTAGAGTTGTCTGTCGGCCTTGTGAATACAGCCCTTGATGCTGCTGGGTGTCAAGTCCTCAAAAGCTTCCATCAGACGCACATGCACGTCTTTGAATTTCGTGTCCTGTGTGTACTGATCTCCAACCTAGCATATATCAATAATCATATCAATAACGCTGTGTATTGTATTTTGGTACTATACTTGGCATTTTACGATAGCCCAGACAATCTCAATTGGTTGCAGGTCACTATGGGGTGGCGCCCACGGAAGCGATTGTACCTGGGGACAACGACAAGAGCGGGTCAATCTTGCGGGCCAATAGATTGGCCTTGACGAGGACGGCATGTCGTTCGAGGGGGTGCCCATCTTGTTGCATGGCGCAAATCCAAGCCACTAAATCGGCTTCAAAACTCGTCGGCAACGTTGGGTGAGGCCCACGGCGCTTGGTTGTAGTGGTAGTTCCGGCCTTTGTCGCTCGCGCGGCCTTCATGAGCGTGTTGTAGGGTATCTTCCAGGAAACTGAGACTGATTTTCCGTTTCGTCCTAAGGCACGTGCCATAGCTACAACCTCAATGTCAATTTTATTGACATGCACACTTAGCTTTTTCCAAAGTGCAGCTTTAGTTTCATTTGTAAACGAAATGCCGTACTTCGTGCAAGCATTTTGTAGGAAACTCTTTTTTTGTCCATACTTAGGCGTTTCGATAGGAAGACCTTTATGGTATTTGGCATTGTCCATTACTACAACAGCATTTTTTAATCCAAGATCTTCTATTTCGACGAGAAGTTTGGAAAACCAACTCACAAAATATGTATGATCAAACATTCCGTGATAATCCTTTGTTTCAGGTTTACCAGTTCGTTTTCCTCCTAGAAATATATCCAAGCATAAGAGTTTGCTATCCATACAACCACTATCTAGAATGGCAGCAATAGAACAAAATCTTTCACCTTTGTGTTTTTCTTTCACTTCCAGATCAAGTTCATCACTTGGATCATATAATGAATCATCATGCCGACTATAATAGTGGTGAATATAACTCTCATCCAAATATATAATAAGCCGTCGGTTGACATCGCCCGAAAAAATATCACACATATCAGAAACATATACATCACGATGCTGTAAATTAGCATCGGATATACGGAGGCCTAGACCTCTTTTTTTCTTTTCCCTTTTGTAACCCAGTTTTGACAACGCCCTTTGGGTCGTCCGGTACGCGTCTAGAGTGAAGGACTCCGACTCTGGATCAAAATCCAAGCGTTGTTGGGACCGCAGAAAGTGAGCAACGCCTTTGGCGACGGTTAGTTGACGGGATTGACGACGTTGGCGTACAAATTCTTGGATGATCTGTGCCAGTGTTGTCGTCAGAGGAAGCCTTGTGCGGAGGAACATGTCGGGCGACGCTTGGGGCTTGGTCGTTGTGGTGCCCTTGTCGACAAACTCTTCCAAACCTGTTGGACCAACTGTTCCTTGCGCCGTAGATAGCGGGCGGCTGTGCGGCTCGCTGCAGCGGTACCTTCTTTGCGAAGCTGTGCGTTTACCATTAACATGTCGAGTATCTCGTTCTTTGACACGTATTGGGAGCGCGAACGCTTCACGAACTCGATGGCTCGTTCGATGTCGCTTGGTTGGTGGGGATCAGTAGGAATCGTTGGTATGTGAGGCTGGTGTCGAGTATCAGAGCCAGTGTGAGTTTGCATGTGTAATGATTGAAGTGTTATTGTATTTTTGGCTGTCTCTCAATAGTTAGTATTATATGTAAGAGTTTATTTGATAATAGAGTGAGATTCGAAACGTTTTCAACTTTTGCGGTATCATATCTGAGCGTGTATGCCGTTTCAAGACCTGTTTGTTTTATAGATTTTTAGCGTCTTCCCAGCGCTACAATTTCATATTCAACTTTTCTTTATTGCGTTTTTGTAGCTAAAGTTTTTGCCAAAGGCACCCTCGCGGCTGTCGACTACTGTTAAGTTCATTTCAGGTTCACAAAAAAATTATTCAAACTAGAATTCCAGAAATACAAGCTTTTCAAAGCCAATCAATTCGAGTTTGACAATTCGTATTCAAGGTCAAAAGAGGCTCAAGTCCATAATTCAAACTCCCACCATGGAGTTGAATAGCAACTTGCAGCACCCAACAGAGGACGATACCTTGGACACCCTTTACGAGGAGCCTGGAGCTTACACCAGTTCGACGCGGCGGAAATATCCGGATGTTTAGTTTCAGACTGCCGAATTTCCAAATTACTGCCAAACCTATTCAGGAAGCACCATGCTGATCAAAAGATGTACATTATTCGAAATCACTGGACTTCTTACGACTTTTGAGCATCTCCAAGAATACTTATTTCCAATTGGCTGCCGACTAAATATAATGACACGTCGGAGTCAAAGGACACAACTGCAGGCACGAAGGCCTCTCAAAAGTACAAACATAGCAAAGTACTACATAGTAGAATCTATTCATCAGTCGTAATTGAGGTCACCGTAACGATCGGTCGCCTCCAAACCAATCGTTCTTGACGAGTGGAGTTTTACCATTCACAGTCAGTTCAAAGTCATTGAAATACTTGGACAGCGTTTGACAGGCTAAATCCTTCAAAATTTACTTGAAATTGCCACCTAACATATCTGAAGGTGATACCCTACACGATGCATCGCTAATGTGTCCTAAGATTTCGAGTAATTGCAAAAGTGCAGACCGGGGTTGCGGAGTTTCGGGGTAGGAAGAAACTAGTGGTAAGTTACTTCATTACTCGATAAATGACAAGATGCTGCTACATTTTGGAAATCTGGCGGTCTTTTGGAAATGATTGGATATATAATTTGTTCAGCGGCTATTGTGATGGCCATCCGTCACTGAACAAGAATATCACTGATTTCGTTTGATTCCTAGTTTATCCTGACTCTCACGATACATCATGCAAACTGATTTTACAGCCTAATATGAGGCCAATGGAAAAATACTGTACTGTATTTGAAACGCATGTGAGATTCCCTTCGCTGCGACATGTTTGACCTTCAAACTTTGTACTATAACTCAGAGCTCTAATTAAAACCTTGGCTCCATTCGTTTTGCTTTACCACATGGACAGAATTCCTCTATGGTAGAATTCCTCTACGGTAGTTGACTTTTTGTCGGCAGATTTCACGACAACACCCAAGTTAGCGAAGCGTGTAATCTTTGGGGTATCTTCAGAGCCTCTTGAGACTCCCGAGCCACTTTAGATCATTGCACATTTTGCAGGACTTGCATTTAATTGCACAGGAATATGGAGGCGACAATGACCAACATTCATCAACATCCCACTCACGGTGAACATTGTGCGAACGTTCGATTGGGCCGTTGGAGTCAGTCCGTCGAGTCTGTCGGCATTTTTGACCTTGGCGTGTCCATCCCATGTCCTGGAAAACCGCCACCGCCGCCGCCACTGCGTCAACGTCTCGCAAGTCGGCGGCCGCTTCGTCCTCTGGTGCTGTGTCCTCAGTCATCACGGCGCGGTCCCAACAGGACCGGTTCCACCTTGCCACCATCGACCACCACGACCACAACATCCACCTGCGGCAGGTGGGTCTATCGATCGGGAACCGGGAGTTGCTTGTGGACGCCGAGCTCAAACTCGAGTCTGGCGTGCACTACGGCCTCGTGGGGCGCAACGGCACGGGCAAATCCACCTTGTTGCAGGCGCTGGGCGACGGGTTGTTTGAAGGCATTTCGTCCCACGTGCACGTGATGTACGTGCACCAGCTGTTTCACGTGGACATGGACAGTCCCGAGCGACTGTCGGTGGTGGACGTGCTTCTGTGTGGCGACAAACAGCGCCTCAGTCGGCAACACATGATGGACCTGCTCGAGGCGGGCTTGGAGTCTCAAACGGTGCACCAGACGCTCAAGCAGCTGGACTACGAAGCCATCGACGCGGCGAGGGCCAAGATGGAGCGCGTGGCCATCAAGCGAAGCGGCCTGCGGGGGCTCACGGCGCGCAACAAGCTACTGGCCCTGGAGCACCAACTGGTCGAGGCCAAAGCCTTGTGGGACGACGCGGTGCAGCAACGGACGTCTTCTGGTGTCGACTCGGACGAGGATATTGTGGCCGCCAACAACTGGCTCGAGTCGCTATATGCCCAAGATGACTTGTCCAGCGAGGCGCGGGCGCGGGAAATTCTTGTGGACATTGGTAAATATGGGCTATGACGACGACGTGTAGTTGTTTTGTGATTCGTGGCCATTGGGAAATTGATGGTGGTCATTGGGAAATTGGTGATGGGATAGGTCTGCCAGTGGACCAGCACGACCGGCCGTTCCATGAGCTGTCTGGGGGCTGGAAAATGCGTGTATTTCTGGCCCAAATTGAGTTTCTACAGCCGGACTTGCTCTTGCTGGACGAGCCAACCAACCATTTGGACCTACCGCGCATCCAGTGGGTAATGCATTTCATCCAGACGCGACTCCAAGACTTGACCATTGTCACGGTAAACACGAGATGAATATATATATATATATAAAATAGAAATATGACACGGTGGAGTAAGTTTTGATGCTAAGTTAACAGGTAAGCCACGACCGGGCGTTCTTGAATGCTGTGGCAGACATGATGATTGTCATGAAGACCAACAAAACACTCGGGTACGAGGAGGACCATCACCTAGGACATGGCTGTAATTAATTCTTTTTCATCCTAACTATATAAATATATACAACTTCTGACAAGGATATATCTCATTCGAATGGATATGTATATATGTAGGTACTTTGCTGGAAACTACGATACGTTTGAGCAAACCGTACAAGACAAAGAAGTGTTCAACGCCCGACTGGAAGCCAAATTGACTGCCAAGACGGAAAAAATGGAGAAACAAGTCGCTCAAATGTCCGTCCAGGTAACACACACACGATGTTATAACATTGTCTAACAAATACAACACAACGGTTTTCAACAGGGCCGCAAAGCCGGCGACGACAAAAAGATGGCGGCGGCAGCGTCCAAGAAGAAGAAGATTGAAAACGTCGGCAACCAAAAGAATGCTAAAGGACACCGGTAAGTATATCCATCTTCATTTGTCCTTCGAAATATTATAACAGTTATTTCTTTATTTATATTCTTTACCCAAAATTTGGCTGACTTTTGTGCGGATTCGCCCAATCTATCGATATATCGATTCTTTGTATTGTGCTATCGAGTGAAATTTCGTGTTTTGGCGTGGTTTCTCGTTCGAATTTAAATCGATTTGATTGGCTACTTCAGGTGAGCTCAACATTTTTAACCAATCAAAACCTTCTCAAGGAAATTCAACCAATCCGATCGATTGTGGATCGGTTTGGTTCGCGTGATTCGATTGCACCCCCTCCCCAAATTTGTATCAAATCGACAATACTGTGAATCCAAAAAGGTGTCCGATTGGTATCACACTAATTCGACTCACACATTAATTCAACGTGGATGATGTTCGAGGACAAAGAGCACATACAACTTCGAAACCATCAAAACAATGAAAAACATTTTTTTAAATTGAAGTTGACAATATTTTTATTACCTACAATGATAATAGGATATTTCGTTTTTTTAAAGTTTCCTGCAATCTGATTGGCTCAATCCGTCTGCCGAGTCATCTTCTGTAATACATTTATTTGATTGTAATATATACAATATATTAATACATGTATTTGATAGTGTTGTTGATTCATTCTCCTCCATGTCGCTCCAGTTTATAAAAACCAACTCCGCTGGCTTCAAAGTTGATTTCTCGTGTAGACTCCGAGTTAACAAAGACCGGGTCGGCCACTTCTTTACAAATCGAGACCGGTCCCAAGACCAGTTCATCGACTTGCATGTCGTGGAGCCGTGGAGCTTTCCCCCCACGCCCGACGTCCCCACGCACTCTGTGCTCAGCGTCGAGAAACTCAACTTTAGCTACTCGCCAGCAGCCAAGCCATTGCTAAGCAACGTGTCGTTCAATATCCACAAGGGCCAGCGCGTGGTGTTACTCGGGTGCAACGGCACGGGCAAGTCGACGCTGATCAAGCTGCTGTGCCGGACCATCCCAGCAAACCCGACGCCCGACTGCATCAAATCGCCGCCGCTGGTGCAAATTCGAGCGCTGACGCAGGATATCGTCGAGACTTTGCACTACGAGCCCAAGACACCGCTGCAGATGCTGGGTGCCGACACGGAAGAAGCCGGCCGAAAGCACCTGGCGCGGTTCGGCTTGCGTGGGGCGGTGGTGAGTGCCGCGCCATGCAGTACGTTGTCTGGGGGGCAGGCCATGCGCGTGGCCCTGGGATTGCTGACGTACCCCACGTGTCCGCAGCTGATGATCCTGGACGAACCGACCAACCACCTCGACATGAGCAGCATCGACGCCCTGCTGGACGCACTTCGAAGTTTCAACGGCGCCGTGCTTTTGATCTCCCATGACGAGCACTTTCTGCATGCATTTCACCCGGACGCTGTTCTGTGGCTCACCAAGCGCGGCGAAGTCAAGCCGCTGAATGATGTCGACGATTTTCTCAACAAGTACCGCGACTGGTGAATGGGACTAGTTACCAGTCTACGAGTCGACAAGGGTCGGTCGGTCAGGATGTTGCTGTGTAAAGTCGTGATATTGACGGATTTTTTGCATTATAATTAGAGTTACCTTGTCCTTCTAGTCTGATATTGGGTTGCTAAGAACTGTAGTTATCGAAGTATCTCTTGCACTGATAATACTCTACATCAGTAGTAACGTTGTTATTCATAACTCTTGCATCTCCACCACGGGTTTGGGAAGTCTAGTGCTTGTTTTCGGGCTAACGTTAATCGTATTGTGCTTTTCAGTCCAATTTGTTTGGGGGATGGATGAAATCGCCGACTAATCGAGCAAAGGAGTATGATTGGCTACAAAGAACAAAAGTTGCAATTTGATTGGCTAAAAAGGTTGATTGTAGAATTGAAGGCTACAAAGATACCTCTTGAACTTAGTTTTATATGAAATTTCGAAGGTCCGGCGATTGTTTGGCGGTTGATTCAACCAACCACCAGAGGAAATTTTGAGTAGACCACACAATATCAGTGTAAACACAACTGCCTCGAAACAGTTTGCCCAAATGAGGAGGTGTACGTTATATTAGGGACAGTCAATAGTGAATTAATAGTAAGTAGTACATACTGTACGGGTCTGGAAATTTATTTGTACCGAATCGATAAGAATATTGTCAAATTTGGAGTAGCGTGCTCAATCGAATGAGCAGCTCCAAATCGACAGACAATCCATCGACCAATCAAAACCCAGATCACTAATCAAGTGGCCAATCAAATTATTCACTCTTCGACCAATTCAACATCGAATTAGTGAAACTACTGTAGTGTGAGACTGGATTTCGAGCTTTACATTCAAAAGTCAGTACAAAGAATCGATTGATAGATTTGGCGAATCAGCACAAAAGTCCAAAATTGAGCTAAAAGAATGGCCAGGTCTGGATGCCACAAAAAGTAGCATACAATTGGAAATCTACTAATTTTTCTTCCAAAATTCCACTGGCATCCAGTCAACTTTGTATATAATACTTTCTTTTCTCCTTTTTTTATTCATGGGATATGAGATGTCGGGAAATTTCAGCCGACTTGGCAAAGCGGTTTATGGCATAATGGTATGGGGTGGGTAGCAACCATCCACACTTGGCCTTAGCATGATTGTTTTATAGTATCCACCTGTATCAGAAATAACCACTGTTGCTAAGCATGATTGTTTTACAGTATCCACCTGTATCAGAAATAACCACTGTTGCTTGTCATTCACTAACTGTAAACTACTGTGTGCAGCATTCGGGACTAGTGTTGTAGCTGGCTACAGCTATAGTATTGGTTCTAGTTGATGATGTTGTGAACACGTGAAGAAGGGAGGTGGGGCAACTCATAAAAATTCATGGAAATAGGTCTGTACTATAGCAATAATACTACTGTAATACACTGCCAACAACGAGCGCTTCATGCGATCTCGTACGTCGGGGGGAAATCTATCATAGTATTCCAAAGTCTAGACGACTTAACGTTTTCTCTACACTTGTTCCTTCACGGGACTTCTAGATTGCCCACTCTATACCTCCACGAAATCGGGCGTTCCTACTGGAGGCCGGACGACGTCGTTCGACCAGGAGTCAGCTCCTGACGTAGCAGCCGCCTAAACTTGGCCATCGCAGCTTTAAAGTACGCTTGCTGCTCGTGGTACCGCGTCTGGCCGTTGGCCGCTCGCGTCGATCGCTCCGCCGGCGTCAGCGCCAGCACGCGGTCCACAGTGTCACAGATGAGCTCGTGCTCGACGTTGAACTCTGTCCCAGACCCCATGATCGTCTTGTCCCAATTCCACCGCGCCCCCACGCCCGTGATGAGCACCCCCGAAGCCTCGTCAATAAACTCGTTCATGGGCGCGCCGTCCGTCGTGAGCACCAGCGCCCCCGCCGCCCGCGCCTGATTGATATAGTGGCCAAACCTACCCCACGTTGTTTGGTATTAGGCTGTACATATAGTACATAGTACTATTCATCATGGTAGATGTAGTAGTAATTGCGATACTCCTACTACTGCTAGTAATACTAGTACTAATAATTAGTCATACTGTCGATAGTGTACTATCCTACTAGAAGTACTATCACTAATAGCACAACTAATACTATCACTAATAGCACTACTAATGGCCATACTATTGATAGGAGTAATACTAGTACTGGTAGTAGCGCGGTGTGCTAGTATATAGATAGCATACTAGTGGTATTGTTGTGTTTATCGAATGAATCGCACAACCCAACGTACAGAATGCATCGGCAAAACGATTTAGCCAATCAGATTGCAGGAGCCCATCATCAACGTCAAATTAGTGTAAATAACACTTCAATGAATGTGATACCAATCACCACAGGACACGTTTGACATACAAATATTCAGTACAAACAATCGATCGATACATTTGGCGAATCAGCACAAAAGTCAGCCAAATTTATTGTCGGTAAAATGACAATAGAACTAATCGAGAACCGTACCCTTCCGAGATGCTAGGGCAGACGATGGCGGACGTTTCAAGCATCATCTTGCCGTACATGGGGGGAGTGACAAACACTCCGTTGTGGTACTGGACATTTAGCATGGGACGCCCGTCGCGAAGGTGCCGCCAATACGTGTCGTTGGACCCGCCGTCGCTCGAGTAGATGGAAATCGGCGGAAAGTCCGGCCGAGAGCTCCAGCAATCTAATAGTTCGATCGTGTTCTTGAGCGTGCTGTGGCCGTTGGCGTGGAAAAAGGTCAGGTTCTCCCAGTTGCGCGGGGCGGCGGTGTATGTGACAGGGTCGGCTTTTGCGGCTTCCTTTGCGAGCACCGTGGGGTCGCTCGTCGTGTGCGACGTGTAGTACACGGACGTGTTGCGGCGGTTGTTGTCGTCGCGGTCATACCTTTCCAGCGAAAATATCTCTCTCACATCCACCAGGAGAGGGAAATACTGTATGTAGATAATAGCTTATATATTGTCACGTCGAGTATTCGACATTGGAGTGTCAAGCGTGTTTGTTCCAAGGCTGGAGAGTGGGGTGCTAAATCCAATAACCATATCGGCAGACAATCGATCGACCAATCAAAACTCAGGATGCTCATCCAGTGGCCATTCAAATACTCTATCTGGCCAATTCAACATTGAATTAGTGTGTGACGGACTGAGAATTAGTGTGACATTCGACGATGTTTAGATATAAACGTCCATACAAAGAATCGATCGATCGATTTGGCAAAGAATCCGCACAAAAGTCCTAATTTTGGCGTAAACGAGGACAATACTTGTCGTGGAGTTGATTAGACAAGTAAGTTGGCCATAGCAGTCTCTTATAAGTGGTTGAATCAAGGCTTATGGGACTTTTACCAAGTCCCGCATGGATTTCTACATATTGTGTATATAATATATATCTTGAATTACACGCAAATACACACTCTGTTAATGAAAAAAAAGAACGATCGATCTTTTGCAAATATATATATATATATATTGTAGCCATACAGTAAAAATAGAGAGATCCACAATATATCTTGTATATATACATACCATTGTGTGATACGCTGGTACGCGTCTTTGGTTTTGGCCAAAACGTAGTCGACGCGATGGTAGTGGGAGGCTTTCAGATCGTACATTTCGACGTTAGGCATGAGGATGAGCTTCTTGGTCGATGGAAAGTCATGGCGATCGGGAAGGCCGTCCCAGTAGTGGTTCATGAGGATCACGGCAGTGTGCGGACACAGGTCGTGGTACGAGTACGTCTTGCCTACACAGGATGCAAGTTGAGGGGGGGATGGCGACGAGAAAGGACAACAGTACCGTCGATGTGGAAGTCGATTTCGTAGACCCACATGGGCATCGCACGGGTCTCTAGGAACTTGACGTACGCCATGGCGTCTTCGCAGTACCCATAGGATCGGATGCCGATTGGAAGGAAGACCTCGGCTTCGGGACACCGCATGACTTCAGCGAGGATGTCCTTCGTGTCGGATTCACGCCACAACGGAGGTTGCATGTACCGGCTGGAGACGATCGCATCTCCTCGGGTAAGACATTCTGTCATGAGCTCATTCATGTGCAGCAGGTCGTCCTCCTGCGGCGCCACCAAAGGCCGGATGGCATGTCGGAGCTTCGAGCGCGATAACAACGAGGTCGCTCTGTACGTCAGGAACACGTCGACAGACTGAAACAAGACCAGCGCACCGATGCAGCCCATGAGGATCCATCGGAAGCTGAGCGGCTTCAACCCCGTCGCTGTCATACGCTTCGGGCTGGAAGCTACAGTAATGGACAAAAGCAATTGGGCGACATCAAAATGTACTCCCAGTATTTAGTATGGACTGGTACCCATGAATTAAAATTGAATGATGTATTTAAATGTGAGGCAAGCATAATTAAAGTAAGCTAATATATTAAATAGTACTCAAGAATTAATTGTACGTTTTACTTCAAAGTATACCCCTTTACTAGTAACTTACCGGGTAATTTACAATTTGATTTTACTTTACAGAGGACTATACGTATATATACTGAAAATATCTTGCTGTAAAAGTACTAGTAATAGTACTGTAATTGTTTTATACTCCGAGTACAAGTTTAACGGTGATGTTACAGCGACTTCCAGTTAACTGTAAACAATTCGTTGTGTTGACTGTTATTCTTGATATCACTTAAGTACTTACAGTGATGCAAGGCATTGTCGTCGGCTCTCCTGGCCGGAAGCACATTGCTACATGGAAATATGATCCTAACTGATTTATTCATCCGGATAACTACACAAAATTGTGTAACTTCGACGAGACCATCGAGGACCTGTAACGAATGTTTTCATCTTCCACCCAATCTCCCTCGATCAAAATACATGCATCTATGCAGTTTTTTATGCAGAATACGCCTGAATGGTTAATTCTTCGTGAAACTTGATAGCCTTCCAGATTGCATTGTAAAACAAATCATTTGTAGTCGAAATGGACGTGCTAAATTTAATATCCTTTCAAACTCTATAGAAATTTGTCTCAGAGTTTTGGATATTTTATGCGCGATAGATCCTCCAATCGTAAATATCGTCCGGATAGTGAATCGATTCCAGGTGTGCATTGCACGCCATCAATTTCATTTGCACATTGCAATGCCCCGTGACACCAGCATTACAGAACTTGAATACGATGGAATACTGTCGTACGTTAGGAGTGAGCGGCCACGAGCGCTGACAAAAGAGGAGCGCCTGGACATCCTGCGCCTGCATGCACACTTCAGGCACTTGAAGTTAGATTCAGTGAATGAACACATTGCAATGCTGCTTGGGCGGAGTGAAAAAACCGTACGACAGGTATGGCAACAGTATAGAGATTCAAAGTCAATTGTAGTCAAACAAGTACCAGCTAACCATACCATTCATGCATCACGAGTTCCAAAGGCAAAAGCAGTGCTGCGTCTAATTGTAGAATTTGTTCGTGAGCGACGTCGAACTCGAACCCGAGTTGTTGCAAAAGATGTTATTAGCACAACATGGTCATGTTGTTTTTGACGAAACCGACTGTCAGCGTATTGGCGTCGAAGCTACGGCAGTTGATTACAGAACGGTCATATAGGCGAAGCTGTAAGCGTACAATAATGAGAATGTCGTACCTGAAGTCGTTGCGCTTGCTCGCTCCCGTGGATATGAGGTTGTCTACACGCCACCCTACCATTCAGATCTGCAACCAATCGAGTACATTTGGGCTTACGTGAAGGGGATCGTCGGCCGTCAATATACCACAGAGACGACGATGGAGGATGTCCGGCGGCGGTTGGACATTGCGTTGGGGGGTCGTACCAAGTGACGTGATCTATCGATGCATCAGTCACACGAAGAAGAAAGTGTCTGAACTCAGTGCATACCTTGTCGAGCTGGAAGCTGCCGACGAAGCTGTGAATGAACCCGCGCTGCCTGGAGAGGACGAGTCAAGTGACGATGAAGAAAGCGACGACGACCAGAGCATTCTTACGGATATTGTTGTCTAATAACCTGCTTCCGAATAATACTTGTATGAATTGATTTTGAATGCACTGGTAAAGGTTTTTTGTCTCTCAACTCCCCCTGAAAATTGATACGGTCCTCGATGGTCTCGTGTTAACTGTAAGCTTACCCGTAGACTTGCCATAAAGCACTTTCGTACGGATAATGAATCTATTATTAGGTACAGGGTAAAGGGCAATTCCCCAACCTCCGACATATGTTTCTGAGTTTCGTATTTGGAGTTAGTATGATCATATTAATATTAATAGTCCGATGAATCCAATAATATCCAATCAGCGTCGACCACACCCTGTTCATTTATGTACGATCGTACTTCTAGGAAATGAACTTCAAGTAAATCAGGACTACTGTACGTCCTACCGACACCGCCGCCTTGACTAAGGCTGCGAGACTAAGGCTGCGAGACTAAGGCTGCAACCAGCATGAACGTTCCTGGGTTCCGATGGATCCTCATTGGATGCATAGGGGTGCTTGTGCTGTTCCAGTCCGTCGACGTGTTCATGGCGTACAGAGCTGCGTTGTCGTCTTCGCCGCCGAGACACGCGTTTCAACCACTTCTGGACGATGTACAAGACAACGACCTACTGCACATGAACAAGCTCATGACAGACTGTCTCGCGCAATCAGAAACGATCCTCTCTGGGCGGTACATGCAATCTCCCCTTTTGCGCGAATCCATCTCGGACGACATCCTCGCTGAAGTCATGCGGTGTCCCGAAGCCGAGGTCTTCCTTCCAATCGGCATCCGATCCTATGGGTACTGCGAAGACGCCATGGCGTACGTCAAGTTCCTAGAGACCCGTGCGATGCCCATGTGGGTCTACGAAATCGACTTCCACATCGACGGTACTGTTGTCCTTTCTCGTCGCCATCCCCCCCTCAACTTGCATCCTGTGTAGGCAAGACGTACTCGTACCACGACCTGTGTCCGCACACTGCCGTGATCCTCATGAACCACTACTGGGACGGCCTTCCCGATCGCCATGACTTTCCATCGACCAAGAAGCTCATCCTCATGCCTAACGTCGAAATGTACGAGCTCCAAGCCTCCCACTACCACCGCGTCGACTACGTTTTGGCCAAAACCAAAGACGCGTACCAGCGTATCACACAATGGTATGTACGCTGCATGACGCTCTTCTATTTCGTATATATATCGTTATTCCGTGCTTATTTGTTTGTATTTCCATGATTTGAGTATGATATTTCTTAATGTTATGACGAATATACGTTATGGATAATATATATTATTCAACTAAAATATAAATGCATTATTGATAATATGAATGCTCCCTATCCGTGGTGCTACCATATTGACATGTGTGTCTCCATGTTTGCATACGGAAGTAGTCTCAAACGTTCAATATATCATTAAATTATATATACAATGTATATTGGATATATATATATGTATATTCATTATATATGTTGTAGACATGATTAAAATATTTATTTTATATGTAGTTCTTGTATTTGTAGGGGATATATATATAAATTGTACATCTCACCTATGTTATGTTTTGTATATTCAACAACTTTATGTACGTTCTGCCTACAATAACTTCCCTAGTACATATTGTCGATTAGATACAAATTTGGGGAAGGGGTGCAATCGAATCGTGCCGACCAAACCGATCCACAATCGATCTGATTGGTTGAATTTCATTGAGAAGGTTTTGATTGGTTAATAATTTTGAGCTCATCTGAAGTAGCCAATCAAATCGATTTAAATTCCAATGAGAAACCACGCCACAACACAATGAAAATTCACTCGAAAGCACAATACTTACTTGGTCATTGCTGTGATACCCCATCTTGACATGGATATTATAGGTATGACCGCGACGACAACAACCGCCGCAACACGTCCGTGTACTACACGTCGCACACGACAAGCGACCCCACGGTGCTCGCAAAGGAAGCCGCAAAAGCCGACCCTGTCACATATTCTGCTGCCCCGCGCAACTGGGAGAACCTGACCTTCTTCCACGCCAACGGCCACAGCACGCTCAAGAACACGATCGAACTATTAGATTGCTGGAGCTCTCGGCCAGACTTTCCGCCGATTTCCATCTACTCGAGCGACGGCGGGTCCAACGACACGTATTGGCGGCACCTTCGCGACGGGCGTCCCATGCTAAATGTCCAGTACCACAGCGGAGTGTTTGTCACTCCCCCCATGTACGGCAAGATGATGCTTGAAACGTCCGCCATCGTCTGCCCTAGCATCTCGGAAGGGTACGGTTCTCGATTAGTACTTCTACTACTAGTACTACTTCTACTAGCATCCCGCGTCCTACTTCTACTAGTAGTACTAGTATTACTACAGTCGATAGGATGACTAGTAGTACGATTCCTACTCTACCATGATGAATAGTACGACTACGATGTACTATATGTACAGCCTAATACCAAACAACGTGGGGTAGGTTTGGCCACTATATCAACCAGGCGCGGGCGGCGGGGGCGCTGGTGCTCACGACGGATGGCGCGCCCATGAACGAATTTATTGACGAGGCTTCGGGGGCGCTCATCACGGGCGTGTGGGCGCGGTGGACTGGCGATAAGGTGCTGATGGGGCCTGGGACAGAGTTCAACGTCGAGCACGAGCTCATCTGTGACACTGTGGACCGCGTGCTGGCGCTGACGCCGGCGGAGCGATCGACGCGAGCGGCCAACGGCCAGACGCGGTACCACGAGCAGCAAGCGTACTTTAAAGCTGCGATGGCCAAGTTTAGGCGGCTGCTACGTCGGGAGCTGACTCCTGGTCGAAACGCCACGGCCTAGCGTTATTTATCTTGAGATTAGTGTCGACTTTGGAAGGAACGAGAGGGTATTATATGTATATTGAAGCTCAAAAGACCAATCAATATGCATATGTTACGCTGTGGCTGGGGGGAGGACGGTGGGCTGTATTACTTTTATTGTCGTTTTACCCAAATATATTGGCTGACTTTGGTCATGAATCGACAAATCTATCGATCGATTGCTTGTACTGAATATTTGTATGTAAAACAGTTGTGGCGATTGGTATCACTCTAATTAAAGTCATACACTAATTTAACGTTGACGATGGTTGTTTCCTGCCATCTGATTGGCTAAATCCTTCTGCCGATTCTTGTGTAATACACTTGGCTGTGTCGTCTTCTCCATGTTGCTATATGTAGAAATCAACTTCAGTTACACAGGAATACTGTATCCCGAAGTAGTCCTACAGGACTGTATCGCAGTTCCAGAAACACCCCGGAACACTGTATCGCAGTTACCGGAGAACAACTCTAGTACTACTAAGGACGTTGCGGGCGAAACTACTAATTGATCGAATCGTCCATAGCGAGTAGTAACGGTAGCAGGATTGATCAAAAGTGCCATGACTATTGTACGGTTATTCTGTTATTGGGTTTGTACACTGTAACGACAGATAGTGCTGAATTGCACTGTATCACAGCTATTACATAGCTGTGTGACTGCAAAAAAGTGCACTGTGACGTTGTCGCATGTGTTTATTATGATTTCCACAAGAATCAGTCCATGTATGTCATGCGTGTACAGAACATTATGGTAAGTAACTTAGTTCCAAATCTGCCACTAAACGAGTAGTAGAATTCCACGCCCGCCTACATCCTCTACTCATATATATCCAATGAGCACGGCATGCTAGATGCGTTCCTTGTGTTGCTCCACCACACTGCGATCCTTCGACAAGTCGGTTCTCTTGGTCCTGTGGTTACTATAACACAATTGGTCAAGAGGTCTAATTGCACCATTTAAGCCCCTCTGAATCTTGCCCGACGTAGTTTACAGTACCGATTTCGGCCGATCGTGGAGGGTTGGAGTGAACGAGTTCTCGCGCCAAACAACTTGTCGCAGACAGACGCAACGATTGCGTGTCCTGTGGTTACTATACACACATGTCCAGCTTGAGCTCGGCGACGACCACCTTCTGTTGGCCTGTTAGCACCCGACACACATTCCCCAGGCGAACGGCGTCGTAGGCCCCGTTCTGCGGACTCACCCTCCGGTCGTCAATGGCCATCATGTCGGACATTCGACAAAGAACAGCGTTTTGCCATGTACGAGCAGTCGTTAGTTTGGACGAATGGTTATGTTAATTGGGTAATCCTTCTTGGGCTTTTTTTTGTGTAAACGGTTGCGGCTGTGAGTTCCGGGCGGTTCCAGTATCCAGATTTACCCCACGTGACCATCCTTGTATCGTTATCTGGTACCCTAACCCGGTAACGTGGACATGGTACGAGGCGTCGTTCGGGCGACCGCCGGCACGACCTCGAACCGACGGGCCTTCTCGAGGACGCCTCGCCGGACGACCAGAGCCTTGGGCGACCGCGTACCTCGTGACCACGAGCGTGGCTTCGGCCATTTCCAAGCAATCAGTTGAACTGCTCCGCGTGGAAGTAAGTGAACTTGGCCGCAAACAGCACCAGGATTTCCGGTTTGATATATTGGCTCGGCCCCGCACGCAGCGTTGCGCAGACACGACAAGACGAGTGACTCTGCCACGTCATGCACTGGTGGTGGTGTAAATAGAGCAAGATTCGATTGGGCGGGGTCCGGAAATTCGTACTGAATCTACAATATCAAACCTCATACAGTATATTTCTATCCAATCTCAACAAGTTCAACACATCTTGTTCGAGTCGTTCTGGGCAAACTCTCCTTAGAGTAAGTGGCCATTCGCGGCTGTGTCGTCGTATACGATATATATTACAGTACACATCACGCTTAAATATTACTAGTATACTTGAAGTAATAAATACAATAAAAATCAACAGAAAAAGGATTTCACTAAACAGTGCTTGGTGCGACTGCTCAAACCCCGCGCCACTGCTAAGCTGATATGTCCATGCCTCTCCCCGCATCGTTTTGCTGAAGTGCCGATGCATATTCCACACCACAACCACCAAAAGCGCTGGGATTTCGACCTGATATTGTCCTTTTACCCAAACTTTGGACTTTTGGGTTGACAAATCGTCAAATCGTATCGATCGATTCTTTGTACTGAATTCTATTGTCTGTGGTCATTGGTATCACACTAATTGAATTCACACACTAATTCGACGTTTAGGACGGTTTCCTGCAATCTGATTGGCTAAATCCTTCTGCCGCTGGCCTCCTGAGCGCTAACGTGTTGTCACCTGAACAATGATGACTTTGCAAGCAACCTTTGAAATGTGGTCGAAGTGTTGGTGAATATGGCTAGGTCCAGCACGCAGGTGTTGCGACGACGTTCGTCGACGAGGTTGAAGTTGATGTCAAGCTGTCATGTGACGGGGTTTCGGGATTTCAACCGAATGAATAAAACGCAAATCACATTATATATAAAAACAATGCAAAATGATCTTGTCCAATGAAATCAAGCCATTGTGAAAGTCCATTTGAAAGCAAACATGGCCAAGGCAGCGAACAAAGCAACGAGAATAGTGGCGGCGGCGTCTACCAAGAAGACACCTCTGAACAAAGCAGCAGCCACCCCATCGTCCTCTTTGTCGTCTTCTCGGGTCTTCTGGGGTCTCGCAGTAGTGTTTGGATTGCTCGCTGCGTGGCTGCGCTTCCAAACTCGGTCGACGCAACAGCATCAACACCATGTGGGGATGCCAACGTCGACTGCCCCCGCGCGCATTCGATGGAACGTCACATGCTCCAAACAGGTCCTCTTCAATCCTCAATCCTTCTCTCTCATCATCATTATGTCGATTGTTGCAGTACCAGCCGTTCGTGCAAGGGTGCCACAAGCGGGCCAAGTGTGGCCGAGCGCTGCGCGACAACTTCGTCTCGCCAGCCGTCGTGGACGCGTTGCGCGATATTGCCGACCACGGAATGCAAGGCCGGTCTACCCTCGGCGGCCCCACGATCATGGACATCAACACTGGCATGTACTCAGTTGACCATCCCATCCGACGATGGGAATTCACTTCCTCTTGTATAGGCTATGTAAAGGACGGCAACGGACTCATCAACTTGTATCGGCAAGACCCGCCAGTGCAGTTCACCACGGAGCAATACACTTTGTATCGAGAGTACGACCTCTCCTCGATACAAGAACATATTGTACTTATAATGTGGTGGTATTTAGTGTGATTGAAAGCATTCGCCTTGCGATCATGGACGAGTTCCGTCTGGCTACGCTATATTTCACAGCGCCGACATTTCTCACCCGACTCATTGGCAACGCATCGTGGGTGCCGCAGGAAATGCACGATGAATACTGGTATGTTACTATACAGTAAATATATATATATATAAATCCATATTTTCTTGTATTTCCAGTAATAAGACTATTTTTGTTTCTGCTTGGTTTCAAGATTTCTATGACCACATATTCAATACTATTTCGAATCATATTATTAAATATTTTTCTGACTGGTTTCGGGGTTTCTATGGACATACTAGTAACGACTGTGTAATAATACGAAGTATTTACAACGTATATTATAGTTTTTTCTCTGTTTTGTTTCGGGGATTTTGGGTTTCGGGGTTTCTATGGACATATAATATGTACTATTCGCCATATAAATATTTTTTTGTCTGTTTTTCGTACTAGGATTGGTTTCAGGGGTTGGAGTTTCAGGGTCTTTATTGACATACTAATATATTCCCGTTTACCATAAAAAAAAAAAAATTCTGTTGGTGTGTCTATGCACAAATATTAATATTTTCCGATGGGTAGGCACGCCCACGTAGACAAGAACAATACTCGTCATTACGACTATTCTGGGCTGTTGTACTTGGCGGACTATGGCGTCGAGTTCACGGGTGGCTTGTTTGCATTCTTGGATAAGGATAAAAATATTACCGTGGAACCTGCACAAGGTATTTCCGTGATTATAAAATTATGCTGATATTTATCCATTATTTGACAGAATAATAATTAATAGGACGCCTCATGATGTTTACCTCTGGCATGGAGAACTTGCACGAGGTACGCAATCAGTGTCCCATGGTAATTGTAATGATAATCCAACGAGGATCTTCCCAGCTATTGTATATTAGTAATAAATATGTTCCTGTGGTATACAAATATATGTGGAGAAAAATTGAACGATATCTTAGGTCCGTCAAGTGGAAACGGGCGCCCGGTATCTCATGAGCATGTGGTTCACATGCGACTCTCGCAAACGATTTCACAACTTTTTGGACGGCAAAACCCACGACCAGTACGACACTACGAGTTAGGACTGGCGATAAACGGACGAAATAGCTGGAAATTAATAAAAAATGTGTGTCTGGACACGGCACAAACAAGTCTAAAAATATTTTATTAAATTTTAATAATTTATTTTTAAAGAAAAAAAAGCTTTTTAAATTTATATAAATCTTTAATAAAATTAAAAATAAATCCCCCAGAAGTGGTGGAGATTGTATCCGGCAGAGTTCGATCAGTAACAGCAGATTTACCACTTACAGTTTTAATTATAACGGTAACGTTATTGTGTATTTTACTGTACCACCTAATTTTCGTCTAATCCTGTGTAAACGGATAATAATTCTATAGATAGAGCTATAATAATATAATGAGCAACACTGTCACTTATTGTCCTATAACTTCAAGGGTATTCTGGGAATCGTTTCAGGTTCCTTATGAAATTATCTATTTGGAAGTAAGTATACCTATAGTCCAGACAATAAATAACCTATTTTAGCCGAGGTACAATGGGCACATCAATCAATTATTTCCATATTGGTAGCATCAATCAATTATTTCCATATTGGTAGTAGTACCATAAAGTGGGGACTTGGGCATTTATCACCCGCAGTTAAGTGGAGTTCATCGTCACACCTGGTGAGACTTCTCGTTATACCTACCGTGGCAAGTTGAGAAATGGTTGCCATGTGACAGATCTTGGCGCGTAGAACAAGAGCCGTTGTGTGACGCAACACGGAAAGACTACACCATTTTGCGGGGATAATTTCGAAAAATATCTGGTGTATTTCGTGGAGTCCCATTTAAATTCGTGGAGCTTCATTATATTTCGCGACCTCGGCATTTACATTTATTTTTGTTAGTTTCGTGGGAACGTCGAATTCACTCGTTACCTTTCGCGGACTGCCAGTATATTTCATGATTAGCTCAGTTAGATTCGCAAGCATCCATAAATACACCCATTGCGTTAACAATTAACTTAAGCGAAATATATTGGTCTCGTCATGAAATATTTTGGATGTTTGCGACACAAAGTGGATGCCTAGTATCGTTACGATGATGATTGCTGTCGTCCAGAGTTTGTACTAAAAAGCTGTGGTAAAGCTACTTTGCTACTGTACACTTTGGACGACGGCAGCCATTTTGCAATTCTGCACGACTTTGCTTGACCAATCACAGTAGATTATTCATGGGTTTTCCACCAATAATATTGAAGAATCAAAAATACTGGAGTGTGCGCGGACCCCGATACACCTAGCTAAAAACACCGAGGTCGACTGTTTTTTCAATCTCGGCGTTTTGGGGTTATTCAACTTGGTAGACAGGTCTTCAGTTCAGCTACCCACAATATACACCCGATACTACTGTAATACGATCCAGACAAAACAAATGTGGGAGGGACGCGTTATCCAATATATTAATACCACAACTACGAAGTAATACAATCCAGACAAAACAATATGTGGGGACAACGCGTTTGCAGTTAAGTTAGAAAGAAATGTGGGTACATGGATGGTTAGGAATAGCAAGTTCGATAGTTATGCACAAGCGAAGGCATCACCCCCAATCCCCACCGAGGTGGAGAGTAAGCCTGTAATCCCCTCATGACAATGAAATAACTAGCCAAATATTGGGATCATCGCCAACGGCCTTTACCATGAAAGCCCCCTCATTGTGAAACTACTGTACCAGTAGTTAGATCTGTCGAGTTGAATGCAGTGTGCCGCATGTTAGTGAAGAGCTTGGCGTACGCTGGATAGTATGAAGGATGGTCGCGCCACGTTTTTAGCGACACGTGATGGCTTAAAATAGATTCTAAAAGGCAATGCCAACATGAAGTACTATAGTACGTTGGGATCACATTTAGGGTGTACTACTACGTACTGTACTAGTAGATAACAACGATTAAGGTGCCCCCAAGTCCTCGTCGTGCCATCGTTGGTTTACTGTTAGATTGCACTTCCCCCTCGTTTGGAGCCAGGGCCTTCCCGGATTCTGACAGGAACGTTCTGCAGTCGCAGATTTTTCCGAAAAATGCTGTATCCGATTCCTTGGAATTCTCGCAGGTTACCAAACCTACTCACCGTCAGTCGTCAACATATACTCTAATGTATCTAGTTACTTGGACTAATCATCTGTTGATTTCATTGCCGTTTTACTTGGCGCAAGGCACGTTAGCGCGGCAACCCAGTACTTAATCCTTTCATAGTTCACTCAGTCCTCGTGCAATATTATCGTTGTGGTGGTGCCGACTCTGGGCAAATTCTTCGGATTGGTTCAAATACGCGGAAAATCGTTGTTTGAGTTGAACGCGCGCCATGTGGTTGCTGGATTGTGCGACCAACCTATAAATAAAGATTCAAAATGAATTTGATGTTTGTATACTGATCGTTGTGATAAACCCACTCGATTCAAAAGTGAACCTTCAAGTTGCCCTTATATTTGTTTCTTCGTGGTGAATGCATCAAGATGAATAGGCTGCTGAAGGACGACGTCGGACCAGCGCGGGAGAAGCTCCTCGTGTCCACATCAACCAAGGTCAAATCACTCGACACGTGCAACGAGCACAGGTCGCCGCACGCGAGTCCAACCAACGAGCTTACGCGCCATTCCACTCCCCCGTATCTCAAGGCAGAAGCACCAACCGTCGAGCCCGCCGGCGGCAAAACACAGCACAGAGGACTGCCTTTGGCCACGACACCACACAGCCATCAATCACCACCACCCTCACCATCAACCAGCAATTGCGAATCTAGTCGTCCTTCCCGACGTTCGCATCTCCAGCACCAGCGATCATATGAACAAGCGATCGCGAGTGCGGCTGGCGGGGGAGCTGTCCCCCCAGACATGCGATGCAGGTACAAAACCGGACGGTGTCCACTGGCCCGCGCGATGAAACGAAGCGGCCGCCCGCTGCTGCTGTGCGAATTCCACCGCGCCAAGCAAAACAGCATCAAACGCAAGAGCGACACCAAGTACCGCACCGACCGCCTCGCCCAAAAGAAGCCCCCCTCCCCCATAGCAGCAACGGCCCCAGCAACGATAGTACCGTTGGACTTTTATAGCCACTCGTTCACCGAGCAACTCGGCCTGCCACTTGGCTTGCCACTTGGACTGCATTATGACAACAGCCCCACGATCATGAGTATGACGCCACCCCCCGATGAGATGATCGTGTCCCCCACGAGCGACATGGGCGGCGAAGACATTGCGCTGCTTCAGTTTTTTATGCTGCATTAACCCGCTATTAGTTTATAAATTGCAATCTCCCGTTGTATTAATTATTGTCAAGTCAATTATTTAACACGAAATCGGCAGACAATTGATAAATCGACCAATCAAAACACAGAACTCAAATCAAGTGGCCAATCAAATTATCCACTCTTCGACCAATTCACCACGGAATGAGTGTGATACTGGACGATCTTTACATACAAACGTCAGGATAAAGAAGAATCGATCGATAGGTTTGGCAAAGAATCAGCAGAAAAGTCAACCAAATTTTGAGTAAAACGACAATACCCGTAAAGAATAATAGCACGCCACTGCCATTCTATCCCCCCATATACCGATAATTCGTCACCAATTGTTGACCAAGTTCGTCGCATTCAAAACTCCATACCAGAAACCACATAAACTAACGTTGAATCCTTGTCAGTTCTCGTTTTTTTTTTGCTGTTATCGGTATATATGGGTTTATGGTTTTCTGGTCATGCCAACAACTCTTGTAATTTTCGTTCATGAATTTATTCAAAGTCCTATAGAATTGTCAAATCCGTTCCAATAAAGTGTTTTCCGAACAACTCGATTGAGAGAAGATGCCCAATTTCCTGAATAGTTAGTAAACAACCCCCTATACATTGGAAATCAGAACTTTTGGGAATCGCAGGAGGCATTGAGGTTTGTTATCTCAAAAGTGTCTCAAGTTTTAAGATAGTAGAATACGGATAATATGCTCAGATACTGGTGACTCAGTGGCATAACGTTAAGCCCGCATCGGCGGTCCGATACATTTATTTAGGCAATGAACATACATAGCTCGTGCAAGTCAAAAGAGGTGACTTCCTCGAGTCACTTAATCTATCCATATAATACATACCTTTGGACAAAGCGAAATCTTGACGCCTAGAATTGGGGGCGGAGCGGCTAACCGAGCGAGGAGTTGTCACCAGGGATGCTTAGAAAATAATCTATTTATAATATACTAACGGCAAATAATTTTTTGCGCCACCACCAAAATAGAGAAGTTACCTTTTCCCAACACTAGAAAAAATAGTTAACTTCACTATAACGGCAATTCCAAATGACAGGATAATTCCCAATAGTTCAAACCAAAATGTATTCGGATGTAAATTTAACCATAGACTGACAAACAACGAAATACGCTCTATTGCTCCATCCAAAGGCAGTCCAGTCTATCTCCTATTGTGGGTCACTTCGGCCTCGAAATTGTGATGATCAAAGTTTGAGCGAATCAGCAAGTTCGTGAGAGTGATGGTCATTTTTGAGTGCGATCGCCGTTTAAGTTGGCGAAATGCGCAAGAAGGAAAGCCTTCATTGTAATATGCTATCTTTGCGAACTGCACTTGTAACACGTTAATTGCGTGTTACAAGTGCACGTCCCGATTCAATAGCACGAACTTCAAGATCTTTGAGATATTTAAGTTATTCGAATAATTTATTCTTTCTCATGTGCGTACTAATAAATAATTTATTCCCATGCGCCACGAAAAAAAAAGATGATATTTTTCATCCTCCAGGAAAGATACGTAATTTATCATCCCACTTATTGAGAATAGGTAAAATGATAGATAGATAACGTTATTTGAAAACCCCTGGTTGTCACTCTTTCGAGCAGGGAACCAAGCAACTGGAGTGAACATGTTGAGTAGTCCCTTATAAGACACCGATTCGGATACGAGTAGTAATATCTTACATACATTTATGCGTGGTCCTGCCATATATTCGAGGTTCTACTGGCTGCTTATCAACGCCCCTCAACTACTTTTGCCCATGACATCTCGTCCAAATCACGCTCGTTCGGTTAATATCCGTATCTGAATCTTGTTAAAAGTAGAACTTGCGCAAGTTGTGAAAATTTCATTTCCGCATCTTAAACACTTCACCGAAAGTTAAAAAATTTCCACTTTTGACATGAGTTCCACAACCTGAATCTTATCTCAAATGTGCAATAGACGAATGTACTTTACAGCCAATCAAATTAAACTATTCCGATATTTGCACCAATCAACAATCATCAATGTTTGACCCAACCGAAAATCTGTACATCTTCCAATTTGTATACGATAGATTGAATTAGCTGAATATGTCACCAAAATCGAGTCTCGAATCAGCAGCTATTATAGCTATCCAGTCCAAATTTCACCGAATATATATATATTTATATATTTTGAATACCAATCGAAGTACAATGCACACGTTCTGCTTTATTCGCGTTATCAGTATCCTATCCCTTCAGTGGACGCTAGTTGCTTGGTCGATTCAATTCGTCCAGTTGTATCGAATATATCCTGCTCCCAGCGGCACGTGCGTGAGTTTCCAGTCGAGTTGGGCCATGGTGTCGTAAAAGTGAGGGAATTCCTGGTGCATCATGGCGTACGCGGCACTGGACGACCTCGTGGATTGGTCGAGTAGGATCACAGCGTGGTAGAACGCGCGCAGTTCATCACTTGGCTAAAGCGTAGAATGGTTCAATATATTGTCAAATCGATTCGAAACAGGAGCAAAACAATCGAAAGTCTGAAGGGATTGGATGATTAAAGAATCGACTCAGCCAATCAAATCACGTCCTCTCAAATTTCAACCAATCCAAACGTTTGATTCGACCCAGGTCCCTCGGCATTGGGCAAAATCAAACAAATAATCGCTGTATAAAATAAATTGTACAAACATTAAATTACACCAAATGCAATTTGGTGAAATGACTCGAAATTTAGATGATATCCGATTTAAATGAAATATCTATTATCCAGCCACCAATCATACCACACATTCAACAGTAGATAGATATTTATGGTCAAATCGATTCGACAATAGCCCTCAGCCGAATCGAATGTCTTAGGAGAATCGATTAAAGAACCGCCTGAGCCAATCAAATCACGTGATGTCGAATTTCTACCAATCCAAACGTTTGACCCCTCCGCATTGGGCAAAACCACATATATACTAATCTTTTTATGGTATAGTGTGTGCAATATTAAATAGATTCGAACGCTATTTGGCGAAATCAAGTCCAAATATGATTGAAATACACAATATCACTGTAAACATATTTGGTTCAAGAGCATTGAGAACGCAATATAAACACTTACGCTGGCATCCACGGACAAATAGATATGACTGTGCCCAGATCCGTCGACCCATAAAATGTATTGTTCGTCCCTACACGTTAATATGATTATCGTCGAATATATTACACCGAATAGCGGTTGGTGGGAATTGTACCGATACAACGCCAATAACGATCCCAACGGAACATGGGAAGGGAGGTTTCTGCCCAATGAAATGGGCAAACGCGATCCCCAAATCACTTCGGCCTGGTTGATTCCCACCACCGACAAAGACTACCACAACAATATATATATATATATTAGCACTACAATATATAATATATATAGACTACGCAGTATATGCGTAGACTACTTACTATACCTGTTTGGTGCCACTTCGATACCGACGAATAGCCAAGAACGCTCGTTGTACGTTGAGCGTTGGAATGCACAAGGCACTCACAGCCTATACATATATTTCAACACTATCTCATCTAGGAAATATCATGATATATATATATATATATATATATATATTTACCTTGTAATTAGCAATCACGTGAAATAATGTGAGCACGAGAAAAGCCAGCCACACCGTGGACCGCGACTGGTTGACGGCGTTGGCAAAGTACATACCACACACCAACCCGACCATGTTCACAAATGTTTCCTGGGACCCTTCCTTGGCGGCAATATCTACCAGATAAATATATATATAATATATATATATCCATTGACATGGGCAAGAATATCCTTGAAATAATGTAATATTATATATATTTCGGTAGAGATTGGCAAGAATAGCATGGAAATAATGCACAGGATTCGTGGTTCTACCACCTGAAACTGTTCCTCATACATTCATTCTGTATGATATATCACCTTAGGTTAGATCGATCCATGAGCAATCAAATACCGAAATATTGACTAGTACTACCTAGTAGTACTAGTACGATTACTACCTAGATCAGTAGTGTATCAGTTTTTTCACTTGTTAATCGAGTCCACCTAATAGTAGTTGATATCAACTACTTTACAACAAAGACCAACATTTAATCCATTCACGATAAAAACAAATTGCATAGAAATGACCAGTTGGCCATGGACTTTAGAGCTGTTTTGTATATACCGGCCATGTTGTCGTGCTTGGCAAAGTGAGCGGTGAGGGACGACCGGGTAGCACCCGCCGCGACGCCGCACATGGCTTTGCACACGGACGAAATGCAGAGGATTTCCGTTACATAGAGGGGAAAGAACGGCGCCAGCATATCTACCGATAAAATATATAAATAAAAATTCATCTATACAACATAAATGAAGCTTGACAGAAACGTACCCAACGTCAACCCGAAATCGTTGATCACGTCCGCATACAGCCGCCAAAACTTGACGTTGGCGTCGAACTTGGGGCCGACGACGTACGCGAAGAAGAGGCCGCCGAGCATGCCCGAGCCATCTCGCATGACCCACTGCAGCGCCGCGGCCAACGGAGTCACGGAGTCTACGCAGCAACTTGCTTAGACATTCGAAAGCAACGAGCATATATTTGTTTACCTTTGCCGACCCCGACACTCTCCAGGACGGATTGGGTGGCCAGGACGCCCCGAAGGTAGCTGCACATGGCCTAAACTGGTCGACGTCAACGAAACCTAAAATGGAAATGCATGGGAATGAACTACCTGACACGTATCCCACAGCTGAAACGTCAGGTATTCGTGGCTGACGCTGTCAGGGTACCCAAAAGGGAGGAACATGTCGAACAGTTCACGTCGAAGCAGTCTACATGATCGTCAGCAGGTATCCTGGATAATGGATGTTGGGAGGAAGCGTACTGGACGACGTTGGCGATCTGCCACGATTTGCTCGTGGCAGATACACGGCTGTCCACTGCTGACCATTCCAGCGCGGTGGGGGAAGCATTGTAATGCGACGAGCGGACATCATGTTCCGTGAACGACACATGCCGTGGGACGGCAGCGCTAGTATCGTCGCCGCGCGACTTGCCGGTCACCTTGCGCTCCTGCATGACTGACGTGATGAATATAATACTATTGGCCAATCCAAATGCTCAATTCACTCTAATTTCAGCCAATGGAAATCCGATTAGCACGTTGACCTTTCCGGATACGATCGGGGGCTCCATTTTGAATCCATAATCCAACCATGATGCTGAATCACCGGAGCGCGGCCAAGTCCGCCGCCAACAAGCGCGCATTGGAGGAAGCCGCGGTACTTTGGACATCCATAGAAGGACCATGAAGCGCTCGACATGACCTTTCGGATATGTCGTAGGCGGAAGAAACAGTGGAGCATACGCAGAAGAAGGCCAAAGTCATGGACGCGTCAACGTTTGCCGAGTTCGACTTGAGCGAGCACATGCCTCCGTCCGGGGTCCACGTCGCCCATTTGTTTTCATCGCTCGAGTTCAGCTTGACCACCATGGCGCTGTACCATCGAACAGCCAGCTTCCCGTTGGTCAAGGCCGCTGTCGAGTCGTCGTGCAAGTGGTACGTCCCCGCCTGTTCTGGCACATCCTCTCAAGCTTCTTCGTAGCTCGTTTTCCACGTCGGACCTTGCGCGAATCATCACAATCTACCCCGAAGCGTACGAGTGTTCCTTTACCAAGCCCACGGACAAGCTCACGCGGCCAGAACTGTGTCTGAAACCCACGTCCACATCGTTTCAAACGCGGATGACCGTGTTTTGCAACAACCTGAACAAGCTCCTGGTGTCGCAATTGGCCACAGCAGCAGCGAACAAAACGTCCGAAACCCTGGATTTGGACATTCCCGAGGTAAAGGATAGTACGTACTACTGACTACTACTATTACTAGTAGTACTCGGGATAGTATTACTACTACTACCCCATAACGTCGTTATGGGGTTCCATAAGCATCAAAGTACCCATAACGTCGTTATGGGGTTCCATAAGCATCAAAGTGTTTGAAGAAGGAAGGATTTTGATTTGAAATTGTATTAAATAAGATTTTTTATTTATATATATAAATATATATATATATATTTTAAATTGTTATTAGGCGACGTTACCTTCAGTAGAGGACGCGTTGGGTCCGACGCCACTGGCGCAGCTTCGAGCGCAGGAACGTCGACATGCAGCAGCCTTAACCCCTTTGGAACAAGCCAATTACTTGGCCAAACCAGTGCCCAAGGAACTGCAAGGACTCCCAGCTTGGCTGGTTCAAAAGGTATATATATATATTATATATAGCGTGGATTTCCAAAGAATATGTCCATGTAAAATGAACGTTGAAACCAGTTGATTACATAGGTTCGAACGGCCGAGTGGCATAAAACTGCTCTGACTCAAAAAGTGGACAGCGCCGATCGGTTGATCGCCACATTGCCCACACTGTGCGACCAAATTCAAGCGTATGTGTCGTTTACTGGCAAGTCTGCGTTTGAATTGGATGTGCTTGTGACTCACCTGAACAAGGCGCCGGTTCCAGGTACTATATACGTATATATATATATATAGTTAATATATAGGGTATTGCTATGTATGAATATATGGGGGTTGTTGTGGATAGAGAAAGTCAAAGCTCAAATTACGCTGTTGGCTGAAATGCTGCCGTTTTGGCTCACGCTGGTGCAGCATGACAAGACCCACGTCGTCCGGTTGAATGCCAAGCAAAGCTACCGCGTCGTCAAGCAAATTCTGATGCAAAAGGTGGCGATAACGTCACCGCCATAAGCTAAAATTAAGCAAAAAGTGCTTTAGGGCCTGTTCCAAATAGAAACTGTATTTTAACAAGGGGTCCCAAGGGAAGTTTCCGGTTGATTTCCTGTTTTACTATGCCAAGAGGTCCCGTCAAAATCGTGAAAATCTTTTTTGATTGGCTCTTGCGATTAGTATAAAAGCTTATACCGTATAGTGTATATGTATTGCGACAGGTGATATTACACAACCGGCCGACACTCGTTCTCAAAAGTTTGTTAATCCATTGCGTCATACAAATTTGAAGTATATTCAACGTATTCCCAAGTAAATATCAGTTATTACAAGAAAAATATCAGTTATTACAGGAGTCGCAATCGATTAATCCGTCGCAATACATATACACTATACGGTATTGTCCTTTTACCCATATGTATTTGGTTGACTTTGGTGCTAATTCTTTGCCAAATCTATCGATCGATCCATTCCTTGTCCTACTGATTCGCGTTGTGGTTTTTGATTGGTCGATATATCGATTCGGTGCTTGCTGTTCATTCGACCCCAGTCGAATTTCGAATCGACTTGACAATACAAGGGTTGACATGATGATCAAATCAACTTGACTGGCATCACCACATTACAGTACCTCGATACGGCTACAGTAACATTCATGTGGGAGGACGGATTCACATAGGTACCCAATCATGGGCTGAGGTAGCAGCTTATTTCGAGTGGCCACAGTGTGGGCACCACGACCCTTGGCATTGCTCACGAAGTTGCTGGAGTTGCCAAATCGATTGTTGGTGGGTTTTGACTTGGATGGACAACTGCACCAACTCCCGCGACGTCGCGCCTTGGGCTTTTCGTTTGAGTTTCAAAGCCACGAGTTCCTCCAAGGCAACGTTGGCGGTCTCGAGTTGCTCTGCAACGGATCCCTAATCTCAACACATGCATTCACAGCACAGATGATACATACTATTGGTAGTATTGTTAAGTCGATTATTCGACACTGGAGTGTTTGGGTTCTCAATCGAATGAGCAGCAGCACCAAGTTGAACATACAATCGATTTATCGACCAATCAAAACCCAGAACATGAATCAAGTGGCCAATCAAATTACCTACTGTTCGACCAAGTGACTGAAATTAGTGTGGTACAGGACGATCTGTGCATACAAACGTCCGTACAAAGAATCGATGGATAGATTTGGCAAAGAATCAGCTCAAGAGTACAAACTTTGGTTAAAAGGACAATATAATGCGATGAAGACGAACCATCATTGTGGGCTGGTTCGGGATGCGATGTACGTGGTACGTAAGGCCACAGTGCTGGCAAAAGCCATACGCATCCCACGTCGCATGCCAGTGGCTTTCCAGCGGCAATCCGTGCATGTTGGACTGTAACGCAGATGCACTCAATTCCCTTTTGGTAAACGTGGGATGCCGTGACGTTGCTGTGGACTTGCTGGCAGTGACCACATCCACAGTTCGCTTCAATACGTTGATACCAGTGACCACACCCTAACCCACGATATTCATCTCGCAAATGTGACACTGTACGCACCACAAACGTGGATACAGCCCCGCGCAGGATAAATCTCATGCCCACATGCATCTAGCCGTCCACTTATAATGTCAGACGATTGCTGTCTTTGCTAAGATGGTGCATACTGGTGCTGTACAGTGCTGTACAGTACCTTTGGCACGGCCAACCAAGCTGGGATCTCAGGACGCTTGCATACCCCGCAAGCATCGTCGGCGTTCATGTTTAGTCTCGAGCCGCTACAGTAGTGACACTGTGGTGTGCTTGGCGCTGGTTTAGGGGGGCCAGCAAACGGTCCATCAAAGATCAACTGCATGTTGCTGGTGGTGACTTCCACTCTGGACTTCTGCAATTTCAATGTAGAGCAACACGGAATGGACCAATCAGAGAAGCGTGAATTTCGGATATTAACCGGATGCGACGGTTCGTCTAGATCTACTTGCGATGGAAATTACTATTTTTCGACCTTGGTATCCGGCTGGTTCAAGTACTCCAGCATGGACGCTTCGTAGACGCGGACGGCAGGAAACCCCAAGAGCTCTTCGAGCACGTACGCCGTGTGGGCCGCCCGGATGCCGCGCTGGCAGTACGTGACGACGGGCTGGTCGGCGGAGAGGCCGGCGGCCGCCACGAGCGCGATCAGTTCGTCCGTGGATTTGAACTGCCCGTTGGGTTGAAGCGTGTCGGACCACTCAAGGTGCAGTGCGCGAGGCACATGACCGGGTCGGGCGTTGCCATGGGCCGCCGCACCCGTGTATTCGTCAGAGGAGCGCGTGTCCAAGAACTGCACGTCAGTGTCAGCGCCCGCCACAACGAGCGCCTTCAATTCATCCAACGAGATGACGCGGGAAGCATCCTTCTTGATGCTGCAAGCAGGAAACCTCATGTGAGGGGATGGATGGTTGAGGTGTGGACTGTGGTGCGTACGTAGGACGGGAGGAAGATGGCGACGGCGGCGACGGGGCCGAGCACGACACTTCAAAGTCGTTTTCGACCCAGTAACGGAACCCACCATTGAGGATCTAGGTTGATGGAACAATCAAAATGGAAAGATATATTTTTGTTGGATATAGATATTTATTTGGATTCCATACATGGCAGATATATATTGGTATGTTAACATTTTATGACTTTTTTGAACAAAAAATTGATAAGAAGTAAAAGATTTACTAAAAAT